AATTCAAGATTAGAAGTTGATTTTGTGTAAGTACAACTTATTAAAGTTTTATGTTTGAATTTGTGTAACTAACTACAGATAAACATAATTAAATACTAAATAAACATCTCATTTTAAATATAAAAAATTTAATATATAATTAATATAATCATTTAGTTCTAATATAATACTTAATTACTATCTTTAAAAATTATTTTATTAAACCAAAAATAAATTAGTTTGTTTTTTAAATTCAATTAAATTATAATAAAAAATTAAATTAAAAAAATTATTAAGGAAATTAGAGCTTTTAAATAATTAATTTGGTACTGATATCGATATATTTTTTTTAATTTTTTTATGATATCTTCAAATTTATATTTTTATTTAAAAAATAAAAAATATTGCTTTCTAAAAAACATAAAAATCGTATTATAACATCTATAAAGACAGAAGAAAATGAAACACTAAAATGAAGATGTATTTCGTTGTATTACGCAAGTGACTTTCTAGTTCTTTCATAACATATGTTTTTTATAGCCCAAATAATCTTAAACATAGTTTGTTATTAACAACTAACTCCATTATTTGTTTTTGGTTTATTGTTAGATGGTAATGGTTAATTAGAATAATTTTAATAGATTTTATAAAAAAAAATTAAAACTTCCGAAGCTAAAGTAACTTTAACTTCAGAAGATTTTTCATTTAGATTATAACATTGCTTATATCATTGAAATATTTCATTCATCTAATAAAATATTATTATTTTGAAATATTTAATTTTAAAGTTTCTATCAATGAAAATATATTCCGTAATTTCTTTTTCTTATATTTTCAAATTTAAAAACTCTACAAAAACAAGTTTATGCATACACAAGTCTTTTGTGTAAATTTTTTTTGTAATTTTTTTTTAATTTTCCAATTTTTTTCATTTCTTGATTTAAAAAAAATAAAAAAATTACATTCAAACCTTTTGTAAAGACATTTTAAATTTTGTTATTAATTTTTCCTCTTTTCTAATTTCCCGTTTTTAAAATATAGTTTATATATACTTTATAATTTTTCATATTCTTTTCAGTTTTCAGATTTAAAAAAAATTATAGATAAACGTAAAAATTTACATTTAAACCTTTTTCATTTATTTTTAATTTTCATATTTAATGAAAAAAATTACTTTATAAAAAAAAGTTTTCACAGAAAGCATTCTTTTTGTGATTTTTTTTGTAAACTAAGGGGGTGTTTGGTTCATAGAATGGAATTTGATGGAATTAGAATCCATCAAAGGAATTTGAATTTGAAGAAATTGGAATGGAATTTGATGAAATTTGACCATGCATTTGGTTGGTGGGAATTGGAATGAAATCTCTCAATAGAATTGGAACAATCATCTTTGTATGGACTATCTCATCCATCGCCCTGTCCACACCCTACTAGCCACCATGTCACTGATATCGTCGTCACAACTATCATCCGCCCTGCCCCCACCACTTCTGCCCTACCCTGCTCCATAGGTGGGGATTGTTGTGGGCAGGCAGGGGCGGGGCGAGGCAGTGGGGGTGAAGCCAGAGTGGGGCAATAGGTGGCAGTGTGATAGTTGTGATGACTACAGTAGTAGGATGGTGGTTAGTGATGGGTTAGAGTAGGGTAAGGTAGGGTGGGGGCAAGGCAAGATGGTGGGGTGGGTAGGGGTAGGTGGCGGGGTGGTAGCTGTGATGATGCTAGTGGTGGGATAGTAGTCGGGTGGCTGGGGCCAAGGAGTGGGTGGGTATGACGACAATAATAGTGGCATGGTGTTTAGTAATGGGTTGGGGGTAGGGTGGGGTGTAACACTCTAAAATAAGGGTGATTGAAATAAGTGGAATATTGAAGATTTATTATGTTTTAGTTAATTGAAATAATAATAATAATATTAATAATAATAATAATAATACTATAAAAATTTTAAAATTTGGAATCGGCATTCAAATTCAAAAAAAAGGGGGGGGGGATTTTTTTTAAAAGAATTAAATAAATTCTTAAATTAGGAGAGGAATTTGTGTAAATTTTTTGGAAAGATAATAAAATTTTTGATATTTTCTATAAATATAAAGAACCTTCTTTGTTTTTTAAATAAAGAGAGTGTATAAATACGTGTTTGTAATAGTCATTCTAAAGGTTTGAAGAAAAGAAAAAGAAAAAGAAGACGGGAATCCGGGGAGGAACGTGACTGCGAATCGAGGGTGAGAATTCGGTTTCATAAATGTTCAAGCATCGATAAGGTTATTAGTCAGGTGAGTCTTCATGAGATTTTAATTGGGATGCATGCTTACGTACAAATTATTTGAGCATTACATTATTTTTTTTATGTACATGTTTATGAGTTTATTACATGTATATGAATTATCATTGTGGGTTGCATGCTATTTGTTTACGTATTTTTAAACATTAATGAGCATGTTATAAACGGGTTAATATTTTTGTCGGGTATGGGAAAGGGTCAAAAGTCATAGGGATGGCACATCCTAGGGATGGGTGACCGGACAAGGGATAGCCGTGTAACC